AGTGGCCCATAGGAACTTTTCTATGTCACAGGGGCTGTTTCTGAATATGGTGGAGTTAAAGGTCTGTCACTGCCTGCATAGCCTCTGCCTCCACATATTGCTTATTTTAACAAGTCATAAAAAGGAAATGGGAGGTGGCCTGGCAGCTGGCAGGCTCTGACAGGAAGCGTCAGATTAAGGGGACACAGCACACAGCCCCATCCCTTTGGTCTCTAAATACTGTTTGGCCACCCACTCCAAGGACCTGTCTCTATTATGAGGGTTTGGGGGAGAGCGTTTAGCAATCCCTTTTCTTCTTCCTTCCCAGCAGTCTTGCCCTGGAACATTCGGCCTCCAGGGAGCTTCTGTGTAACTGTAAAGGCCTGACTTCCTATGCGTCTGCCCCACGCACCTTCCTGAGACCTGGGATCACATTAGCAGGGCCACAGAACACAGCTCCCACAGCTCCGAGTCAGGTAAGGAGATACTGGGGTGGGTTCCAGTGCCTTGGAAGTGTGAGAGCCCATGGCTTAATGACAGCCACTCATTGCTGGTATGATTTCAACTTCTAGTTTCTCAACTTCTGGGCTTACCCATCAGTGAAAGGGGATGATGATGGTGGTGCTAGGAGCAACAGAGGGTTGACAGTGGGGAAACAGATGTGGGAAACATTCACTCTACGCCCACACCCCAGTACATTCCAAAGCGTTCCTGGCTTTCTAGCTAATTGACTATGCTTAACCCATTGGATCTCCATGGGGATTCACAGGGTTTAATGAAGCTGAATGAATATTCTCATCCCATTATACAGATGGGAAAATTGAACCTCCCCAGGTTCCCCATTAAATAGGGACAATTTTCTCAATTTACCATCTTAACTTCTTAAGTGACACCTCCACTGAGTCACGTGTTCCCCAAGTCCCAGACCCCTGAGTACACATTATGTTAGGATTTCGTCCTTCTGCAAACCACTCCATTTCCCCCCAAATAGCCCACATCTTTCCTCTGACAAGAGGTAGGACTCAGCTGTATGACAAACAGACTCATTTTCAGGGCACGTGGCACAATCCCTTTGTCTGCTGAACTTTCTGTAAGAAATGTACCCAGAAATTCCAAGAAGTAAACTATAAAACAGGAGACTCTAAAAACAGGAAATATGAGGACTGTGGCATTGAGTGAAGGAGACATTTGTGAACAAGGCAGACAAGATATAGTTTGATTTTCCTAAAACAGCATGAGAGAGCCTGCTGTCTCATGGTTTGGTACAAAAAAGTATCTCCATGATAAAATTAGGCTCATGTAATTTTAAAATCAGAAGGTACATTATGTTCCTTTCCTTCAACCCCCTGCCTGAACTAGACCCTCCTATTGTCCTGCCAACACTATTATAGCCTCTGCTTGCACACTGACTGCCACCCTCTCATTTTGGAGAAGATGAGTAGAATTTTCCTTTTAGATAAGGAATATGCCTACATTCTCCTCCCGCTTTGGCCTGATCCAAGGTTGACATGACCACATTCCTGCAGGTCTGCCATGCTTCCCCCCAGTCTTTTCTTAAGCTTTACAGTCCTGTTTTTTTGTTGCTTGTTTGGTTGGTTTTTGTTAATCCCCACCCCGGATATTTTCCCATTGATTTTTAGAGAGAATGGAAGGGAGGGGGAGAGGCAAAGACAGAAAAATATTGGTGGGAGAGAGACATATTAATTGGGTTGCTTCCTGTACATGCCCCTCCTGGTACAAGGGATTGAGCTTGCAATTGAGGTAGGTGCCCTTTATCTGAACTGAACCCACGACCCTTTAGTCCCTGGGACAATTCTCTAACCACTGAGACAAACCGATTATCGATACAGTCATGTTAATACTTTGTGACTCTTTATAGAATCTTCATTAATATCCGTTGTCACTCTCCCCAGACACTTTGTTATGTGTTAATTTCTGCCTAAAAGCCCATTCCCCTGTGGACACATGTTTCCCCTGCCACCTGACACATTCAGAAGACAGTCCAGGAGAACTACTACCCTGCATCTTAGCTACTGTTACCAGAGTTTGATTGACTTTCTGTGATAGGCACCCTGCTACATTTGGGTCACACAAAATATCAAGTCAGTAAAATACCAGATGGTTTTAACCTGAAATGCTTCAATTTAGAGCAACTCCTGCCCCCTGCAGTTTTCTCTCTGAATAACCTATTTTGAAAAGGCATCCACCCAATATTTTACAGTACAATTGTCTGTGTTTGTTTCAGGGCAGGCTTTTAGCTTGTCAGCCTCAGTTTTTGTCCTGACCATGGGACAACCACATTGTATGTGGGGGTAGAAGAGGCTGGGGACTTATTTAGATTAATTTTTCTCCTCTGGACTCGAGAATTCGTCGGCAAAAGGAGCTACTTTTCAGTTGTAGCTCCATGACAATTGTGTGACCTTGGGCAGGCATTTGTTGCTCAGTTTCTTCAGAAAAGGTCATGTATTGTAGAAAAATATAGAATTTGAGCAGGGTTATCAAGATCCACAGTATAAATTCTCAGGGTCAAGGATAGTTTAGGGAAGAAGGTGTGAGGAAATGCTCTTCTATTGGCTTAAGCAAAGGAAGTGAGAAAGGGTCAGAAGAGGAAGAAAGGAAAAAATAAAATACGAAAATAGATGGCTTACCTAAGGAGGGCCAAAAAAATCCCACTAAATTAATAGAAAAGTGTGCAAATATTTCTATATTACAGAAGCAACCTGAATAGCAAACAAACTATGAAAACCATTTTTAAATTCAATGGTAATCAGTAAAATGGAAGTGTAAATTGATGAAGACATCATTATGTTTGTCCTTAATGTGATAAAAAAAATTAAGAGTATAATATCACCAAGTAAAGGACTTGGGGACTTCTCACACATGGCTCATGTCAGTGAGAATTAGCATAGTGGACTTGAGTCATATTGACAATATCTAGTTAGGTGAAAGCCACCCATCAATTATTACACAGAGATATGCAGTATATGGGGATTATTTTGCAGGAAACATATTTTGGAACAGCTTAAAACTTTATTAATAAACTAGAGGCCTGTTGCATGAAAAGATTTGTGCAATAGGCTTTCCCTTCCCCTGGCTGCTGGCACCAGTTTTCCTCTGGCACCCGGGACCCAGACCTTCACTCTGGCCATCGCCTTCCATCTTCGCTCTGGACACAGTCTTCGCTGTGGTTGGAACTGTCAGTCTTTGCTCCTCGCTCCAGCAGGAGTCTTCAGTCTCTGGCAAGAGGAGCTCCTGTAGCATCTTCCACCCCCCACCTTCCCCCTCATAGCTTGATTGCTGCTTTACCTGCAGACTTTGCCAAAGGGCTCCTGGATTCCAGGGGGCCACCTTGCCTGCGGCACAGCTTTCCCATCATGATCAGGCTCAGGGCCGCAGGCAAGGCGGCTCCTGGGTCCCAGCGATGCCCCCTTGCCTGCAGCCTGGCTTTCCCTGGCTTTCTGATCAGGATCACCAGCTGGTGGGTGGGCAAAGGCAGCCCCGGTTTTCTGATCCAGGGCCGGGGGGAAGGGCAAAGGCAGCCCTGGGGGCTGCCTTTGTCCTGCCACCAGCTCTTGTCTGCTGCCTGGGTTTCTGATCACCATTCTTCTGTCCTTCCCTTTTTGCCTCTCATCATTGCGCCTACGTATGCAAATTAATTGCCATCTTTCTTGGCAGTTAATTTGCATATTTCCCTGATTAGCCAATGGGAAGCATAGCGAAGGTACAGTCAATTACCCTGTTTGTCTTTTATTAGATAGAATAATTGGATAAAAATTTTACACAAATAATGTCATTTATGTAAAAGTTTAAAATGAAAAAACAGTATATAGAAGGGTAAATACACACATGAGATGATACATAAAATCCTCAGAATATTGGTTGCCTCTGAATGACAATGGGAAGGAAAAGAACCCAGGAGAGTCAAAAAACATAAGTGAAATACATGTGTAATGTGTTAACTTTTCAATCAAACAGAATACCTGTAGTAAAAATGCCAAAAAGCTTACATTTGTTCATTGCAAATGTAGGTTTTTGTTTCATAAGTTCATGTATATCTTCACTTAAAAACTTGTTTCATAACTGCATAATATTTAAAACTAAATAACCAAATATAAACTCATCTTAGGTATGTCACATACTTCCCTTTTCTAACACCAAAATGAGTGACATGATATTATGCCTCATTTTAATGAAACATTTATGCCAATTCATGCCAATAGTTGTGCCAATTTCTCTTTAAATCTTCTGAGATACAAAATGATGATCACTGGGAGACAAGGACCTTAGAGCAGCCAGGAAAAACATTTGCTTAAACTCTGAGCAGGAGGTGAGTTTTTCTTGAATTTGTCCTCAATGTAGAAGCTTTCTCTTTGGCCATGGCACCCCTTTCTCCCTACCAACTGCTCAGGGGGCTAATCACAAACTTGCTAGAACAGAGAAAAAAATACCTTTCTGTAAATGACATTGGCTTGTTTGCAGTAATGAGAATTTCCAGTGCCCAACATGCTTTGTGTCACATGGGTACCCAGTAGCCAAGAGGAAAAGTATAATGCACCTTCCCAGGGGAAGGTTGGATCTGGGACATGAGTCCTTCAAGGACTGACATGAGAGGAAGTACTTTTTCCAGAAAGTTTGACTACTATGAATACCAAACATAAAATAAAATAATGTTTCCCTCCTAATTCTATAAAATAATCCTTTTTTCCATTTCATGCCTTTTCTAGTTGGAGGGACATAAGCAATGGATTGGCTTTAAAACATTTCCTGCTTTCCTGTAAGCTGGGACAGAAAAAAAGGGACCAAGCATTGTGTTCACAGTGCATTGTGTTAGCATCACCAGGTTCACTTAAAGTTATGTATAGACTTTTGAGGGCATAATGTGAGTTAGGAAATTAGCAATGGAAATGATTCCTCCATGGAGAATTATTCTTAGGAGTCTGAACTGGAGGTGACCTTGGGCCTTACCAACTCCATGTGGACACTCACTTTTTATTCTTTTCCTGTTTTTATCCCAGAAGAGAATGGAAGGACTTACAAAGAGCAGAAATGGAACTAAGGCTGAAGGTAAGAAAGCCTCCAAGTTCTCAAGAGGCACCGTTTCCTCACCTCAAACACAGTGACAGAAACCCAGTGATTTTACACTGAAAAAGAAAAAGTCAGTGCTCTTTTCTTCTTTACCTTCCCACCACCTTCACCCCCACCTCCACCCGACCCCTTCAGTACAATGCTCTCCATGCACACGATGTGTGGGAAATGTGGAAATGAAACTTCTAGTCAGAAGTTGCAGGGTTTTGGACTGAATTGTTCCTTGTCCACTTTGAGCAGAAAATGGAAATGTCTTCCAGAAAGATTTGCTAATCATGCAGACTACAAAACATCCCAGAATACTGCAGAAAAGGAAGAACCAACACAGAGTAGAAGAAATAAAATAATAGATTTTAGGACACTGCAATGAACTTGGAATCCATTTGGGCTCATAAGAACTCTAGAACTCTTACCCTTCTTGGTCCCTTGAAGATTTTAGCTCCTGGCTCAATGTCACCCTCTTCAACACCACTTTTGTTAACTTCCTGTAATTCAATCAGCCAAGTAGGAGAATTTCCATCACATGTACTACTAGTAGTCTTAAATTCCATCCTTTTCAGCCACCCATCATAAGTCATCTCTCAGGCTTTGCCTTTGACATTAACTATGACCTTTCTGTTGTTTCAATTTCAAGCAGAGAACTCCCCACCCAAATAACAGAGACTCAGGGACCTCAGCTGGTCCTTGGTGGAAGGTCACAGCTGACACTTCCTTTTCTCCCAAGGTTTAGGTGAATATGTTGAGCACATCTACACAAGTGGTCCTGGTTATTTGTGAGTGAAAAGAGGTGGTAATATTTTTCCATGTGTGACCTCTCATCCTTTGCATCCTTCTAAACTCACATTTATTTAACATGAAATGGGCCAGGCACCATCCCTGCAGAAACACAGGGACCACTTTTGTTTCAGTAAAACTATCTTCCTTGGTCTTGAGAACAACTTGGAGCAACCTCCTCAGTATAGCAGTTTATACTGTTGGCTATGGGTCCAATGTGGGCTTTCTATGTAGACTTCCTATGAATGGAGAAACTCCTAAAGTTGTTGGAAACTTTTGTATGTATTTAGGTATGACAGTTTCCTGGGAGGGAAGTCCACAGCTTTAATGAGATCCCATGAGGGTCCAAGACTTAAAAATTGGGAGCAGCACTAGCTTAATAAGACACACAATTTTTTTCTTTTCAGGCAGTGTGGAAGATAATCAGTCACTGAGGGTCATCCTCGTGGGCAAATCTGGTTGTGGAAAAAGTGCCACTGGGAACAGCATACTCTGTCAACCTGTGTTTGAGTCCAGGCTGGCGGCCCAGGCTGTGACTAGGAAGTGCCAGGTAGCCACAGGCACGTGGAATGGAAGGAACATCCAGGTGGTTGACACACCCTCCATCTTTGAAGCCAAGGCCCAGGACCAAGAGATGTACAAGGACATCGGGGACTGCTACCTGCGCTCAGCCCCAGGGCCCCATGTGCTTCTGCTGGTGACACAGCTGGGGCACTTCACTGCCCAGGACATGGTGGCAGTGAGGAAAGTGAAGGAGGTCTTTGGGGCAGAAGGCATGAGACATGTGGTGGTCCTCTTCACCCACAAGGAGGACTTAGGGGATGGGTCCTTGGAGGACTATGTTGCCAAAACGGACAACCGCAGCCTGAGGAGCCTGATCCAGGAGTGTGGGAAGAGGTACTGTGGCTTCAACAACCAGGCTACTGGGGAGGAGCAGAGGGAGCAGCTGGAGGAGCTGATGGCTGTGTTCAAGAAGTTGGAGAGAGATAACCAGAGTAAATTCTACACAAATGATCTCTTCCACGATGCAGAGATGTTCCAGAAAGGCGGGGATGGCACCCCAGAAGATTACAGGTGCTACCTGTCCAAAGTTCAAGTGCACATTGATAAGCAAAAGCGAGACCTGGAAGATACTGGGAGTCACTGGGCATCCAAGGCGGTTGACAGAGTCAAAAATTATATCTTGTCTGATATAGGTATGCTACTTCAGCTTCTTTTTTAAATTTTAATTTTCATGAAATATCTTTTCCATCTCTTCATTTTCAGTCTGTGTGTCTTTCATTCTGTGGGGAGTGTCTTGTATACAGCATATATATCTGTCTTGTTTTCTTATCTATTCAGCTACCTTATGCCCTTTGATTGGAGCATTTCATCCATTTACATTAATTATTGATAAGTATTTACTTATTGACATTTTAAAAATTTATACCTATGTTGCTTTTAAACAATTGTTACTTCTTCTTAGAGAAGTTCCTTAAAAATTTCTTGTAATACTGGTTTGGTGGTGATGAACTCCTGAAGCTTTTTTTCCCTGGTAAGCCTTTTATCTCTCCATCAATCTTAAATTATGAACTTTCTAGGTGGTGTAATCTTGTTTTTAGGTCCTTACTTTTCATGACTTTGCATATTTCAGACCAATTTCTTTGGGCCTTGAAAGTTTCTATTGAGAAATTAACTGGCAGTGTTATGAGAGCTTCCTATTGAGAAATTAACTGGCAGTGTTATGAGAGCTTCCTAATAAGTAACTGTCTTTCTGTTGCTATTTTTAAGATTCACTTTTTGTTTCTATGCTTTGCCATTTAAATGATCATGCACATTGGTGTGGTCCTTTTTGGGTTCATTTTGTTAAGGACTCTCTGCACTTTCTGGACTTGTGTGTCTTTTTCTTCATCAGATTAGGAAAGATTTCAGTCATTAATTTTAAAAATAGGTTAACAATCTCTTGCTCTCTCTTTTCTCCTACCGGTATCCTTATGATGGGAATGTTTTTATGCTTTATAATGTTACAGAAATACCTAAAATTATTCTCACTTTTAATAATTATTTCTTGTTTTTGCTGCATTGATTGGATGTTTTCCGCTACCTTGCCTCCTAAATCACTGATTTGATTATTTGCTTCACCAAATCTCCTGTTGATCCTTCTAGTGTATTCTTCATTATAGATATTGTATCCTTCATTTCTGAGTGCTTCTTATTTATGGTTTCTATATCTTTTTTATGCTTGCTATATCTCCATTTAAGTTCTCACTAAGTTCTGTGATCATCCTTATAACCATTGTTTTGAACTTTGTATCAGGTAAATGGCTTGCCTCCATTTCATTTATTCTTTTTCCGGTGAGTTCTCCCAGTCTTTTGTTTGGAGCTTGTTTCTTTGTCTCCCCACTTGGCTGCCTCTCTATATTTGTGTCTGTGTATTTGGTAGTTCTGCTATGTCTCCCAGTCTTGGTATGCTGATCATACATAGTTGGTATCCTGTGTGGTTCAGTGGCACAGTCTCCCTGATCACTTGAGCTAGGTGTCCCCAGGAATATTCCATGTGTGTAATAAGTGAGTCATCTTATTGTAGTTGAGTCTTGATTGCTGTTGGCCATCCATGCATGGAATTGATCCTCATGCTGGCTGACTATGAGGATAAACATCAACCACAGTGTACAAGCTGCTATGAAGGGTCTGACCCAATAAAGCAGAATTTCCCCATCAGGGTCGGGTGCCTACGAAGATCTCCCTCTGGGTGTATTGTTTGTGAAATCATTGGGTCATGCTATGATATGTTCTAAAGCTCACAACCAGGTGTGTTATCTCTGGGACCTATTGGGAGGAACTCTGGTTAGGCCAATATCAGGACCTGACTGTGATCGATACTGGGCTACCTGTTTGGAACTACAAAACAATCCAGTATTTTACTGGCTCTACTTGGCCTGAATATGTGTGGAAGGGCCCAATATGTGCACCAATGATAGAATCCACCAGCACCAAGTCTGGAGGAAGGTCAAAAAAGGGCAGAAAATTGTTATAGATAGTAAGGTGGTCTTGTCTCTTACATGAGCAAGTTTGTGCAGCTTCTCCCCTAACTTCCTCTTTCCTTCTCTTCCTCAATATCCTCAGCTTAGCATTGACTTCACATTTAGAGAAAGGACCCAGATTTTCCAGGTAAAGGAAGATGGGAGTTTGTGTTTATGTTGTGGGGAGAGGCAAGGAAATGTGGGGTTTGGCATTGAGGGGTCCTCTCCCCTGAATCTATATCTTAAACCTCCTGGCAAACTTGATCTCAGCATAGACTTTATATATATATATAT